CCTGCCTCAGCCTCCTGAGTAGCTGGGGTTACAGGCACATGCCACCAGGCCCCGCTAATTTTTGTAATTTTAGTAGAGAGGGGGTTTCACCATGTTGGTCAGGCTAGTCTCGAATTCCTGAACTTGTGATCCGCAGGTCTCGGCCTCCCAAAGTGCTGGGATTACAGGCGTCTCCTGTGTTTCCTACCGACCTGAGATGTGACTTCTTCCTGATTTCTCCCCATAGGGCAAATCGGGCCCCATATGTGTCCGCCTCAGACCCAAGGACAAGACCAGCGGGACAAGCAGGTGAGAAGAGGGTGATGGAGAAGATCTGGGGTTCCCCATAGGGCCAGCGAGGCTGGAAAGGGCCCAGGGTCTCTCTGGAGGGGACCGGCAAGAGAGGGGCCCAGCCCAGTCACACCGAGGTCTGGAGAGGGGGGCTCCTGGGGGAAGTCTGCAGACCCCACCCAGGACTTGGGGATGACGTCATGGGCAGTGTGGCCATTGGGCGTTCCATATGCCAATCAGAGCTGGCCAATGGGGTGGGCCACACGCAGAGCTAGACGCTCATTCCCAGCGCGGTCTCCCTCAGCTCCTGCACTTCCAGCTTCTCAGATTCCTTCCCTCTGGGCGGTGGAGTCCCCAGAGATGCTGTAAAGACGCCCATCTCAGCAATGCCGGGGACAGGGAAAAGGACCAACCTGTAAGTTCCTGACAATGAGGAATTCCTTAAATGGGCACTGCACACATGGAGCTTGTCTTCATTGTTAGAAACCACGCCGGGAGGCCGGGCGCGGTGGCTCATGCCTGTAATCCCAGCACTTTGGTAGGCCGAGGCGGGCGGATCACAAGGTCAAGAGATCGAGACCAGCCTGACCAACAAGGTGAAACCCCGTCTCTACTAAAAATACAAAAATTAGCTGGGGGTGGTGGCACAAGCCTGTAGTCCCAGCTACTCGGGAGACTGAGGCAGGAAAATAGCTTGAACCAGGGAGGCAGAGGTTGCAGTGAGCCGAGATAGTGTCACTGCACTCCAGCCTGGCGACAGAGTGAGACTCCGTCTAAAAAAAAAAAAAAAGAAAAGAAACCACGCTGGGGAAGGAGTTTCCTGATGCAGAAAACACTGGTAACGGGACCTTAGGTTAGAAACATGTAATGCAAAGCTGCATCTGACAGCAGCCCAGTGAGGAGCGTGGATTATTTGACAGGCAGATAGAAAATATAAAGGATGCACATATATTTTCCACAGTTTTATGTCTACACACACCCACAAAAATTGTGAAAACTTCAAATATTATCAGTGTTATCTCTGTTTTAATTTATTTTTATTGAATGTTCCAAAGTATTTTTCTTACAATGTGCATTTTTTTTTTTTTTTGAGATGGAGTCTTGCTCTGTTGCCCAGGCTGGAGTGCAATGGTGCAGTCTCGGTTTACTGCAACCCTCCCGGGGTTCAAGCAGTTCTCCTGCCTCATTCCTCCCCAGTAGCTGGGATTACAGGTGCACATCACCACTCCCGGCTAATTTTTGTATTTTTAGTAGAGATGGAGTTTCACCATGTTCGCCAGGCTGGTCTCAAACTCCTGACCTCATGATCTGCCTGCATCGGCCTTCCAAAGTGTTGAGGTTACAAGCGTGAGCCACTGTGCCAGGTCAATTTTTATAATCGGAAAAAAAGAACAAGAAGTTAGAACAGTATGAAGTTAGTTCGGTGTTCATAATGCCACTTCTGGAACTTCTTCTCTGAGCTGCCTTCATGAATGTGCCCCAAATATCTCACCAAATCTATCCTTCATAATGAAAGTAGATAAAATAAAGGAAAGGGGGAGAGAAGGAAGATAGGGAGGGGAGGGAGGAAAAGGGTCTCCTCTCTGGCTGAAACCGAATCTGTGGAAGTGTAGACGGCCAGCCCAGCAGCTGCGGTGGTCACTGTCCCTAGGAACCACTCACTATGTGACACCCTCCCCCTAGGACTGTGGAAAAGGAAGCAGTGAGTAAAAGTTCACCAACAGTCAAGCTGGTGCCTGGTACAAGGTGGGCGCTGGGTGAGAGGCATCTCCGTTCCCCTAATTAAGGCACCCTTTGTGCCTTGGGGCAGCTGCCTGAATTTGATCTGGATCCTCCACTTGCTGGCCTGCATGGTGCTGATCGGCTCACCAGGGCTCATCTGTGGCCTGGGTAGGGCTGGCCCTCTCGAGAGTCACTCTGAGGCCTGCGGAGAGAGGATGGGCCCAAGTCCCAGTGCACAGCAGGTGCCAGCAGGTGTGTTGGCTTCTTAGGGCTTCCCTATCAAATTCCCACAAATTTGATGACTTAAAGCCACAGAAACTTATTCTTTGACGTTATGAAGGCCAAATGTCCCAAATCATGCTGTCATTGGGCTATCTCCCTCGGAAAGCACTGGGAAGACTGTTTCTGGCCTTTTCTAGCTTCTGTGGGCTGTGGCAGGAAAACCCCAACCTCTGCCTCTGCTGTCACATGGCCTTCCTCCCTGTGTGTGTCTTGTGTTCAGTTTCCCTCATTGCATTAGGACACCAGTCATGGCACTCAGGGCCCACCTCATCCAGTATGACCTCCTATTAGCTTGGCAACATCTGCAAAGACTATTTCCAAAGAAAGCCACAGACATAGACACTGGGGGTTAGGACTTGAGCATATCACTTTGCGGGACAAGATTCAACCCACGACAACCCCATTATTAGGATGATGGGACCCTCTGATGTTTCCCGTGTCCATCTCCAGCCCCTCTTGCCTTCCCTTCTGAGCTGCTAGATGCCATCTCCACAGGACATCCTGGATACCCTCGAATGGCCAGCATGGGAATCTGACCTCATTGTTCCCATCTCAGCCCTGCCCCAAATCCCAGAGAGAAATGGAAACACCTCAATACACTATCATACAAATATGTTCACAGCAGCTATATTGATAATCGCCACAACCAAAACAGTATCAATGTATAGGAAAAAATAAGGGAATGAACTGTGATTTGCTCATACAATGCAATGGCGTGCTACCCAGCAATAAAGAGAACAGATGCTGACACACACAACATGGATGAATCTCAAAACACACAATGTGGCCAGGCACATGGCTCATGCCTGTAATCCCAGCAGTTTGGGAGGCCAAGGAGGGTGGATCATGAGGTCTGGAGATTGAGACCATCCTGGCCAACATGGTGAGACCCTGCCTCTACTAAAAATACACAAATTAGCTGGGTGTGATGGCGTGCGCCTATAGTTCCAGCTACTCAGGAGGCTGAGGCAGGAGACTCACTTGAACTCGGGAGGTGGAGGCTGCAGTGAGTCGAGATCCTGCCACTGCACTGCAGCCTGGGTGACAGAGTGAGACTCTGTCTCAAACAACAACAACAACAACAACAACAATAAAAATGCAACGCTGAGTGAAAAAAGATACAAGAATACATACTGGGTGATGCCAATTATAGGAAGTTCAAGGACATGGAAAATAATCTCTGGTGACAGGAATCAGAAAGTGGTGGCTCTCAGGGCTGGGGATTGACTGAGAAGGACACCAGGATCTTCCTGGAGTGAAGGAAAATTTCTCTATCCTTGATTGAGGAGCTTGTTACACAGGGGTGCATGTTTGGCAAAACTCATGAAACAGCACACATAAGAGCTGCGTGATTCAACTGAAAAGCTAACACTATTTTTAAATTTCAAAGAACAATGTATTAACCTGTTTTCACACTGCTATTAAGAAATACCCGAGACTGAGTAATTTATAGATGAAAGAGGTTTAATTGACTCACAATTCCACATGGCTGGGGAGGCCTCAGGAAACTTACAATCATGGCAGAAGGTGAACCAGGCACATCTTACATGGTGGCAGGCAAGAGAGAAGAGCAGGGGAAACCACCACTTATAAAACCATCAGATCTGGTGAAAATTCACTCACTGTCAGGAGAGCAGCATGGGGGAACCACCCCCATGATCCTATCACCTCCCACCAGGTCTTTCCCCCAACATATGGAGATTATAATTCTGATCACAATTCTAGATAAGATTTGGGTGGGGACACAGCCAAACCATATCAAACAAACAATCTGCAATTAAAAAAAACGTTTAAAAAATTGGGGGTAAACAAAATAAGTACAGACCCACCATACAGGTTGGGCAAGGGGTTCTGGCCTTCATCTCCTCAGTGCACCTGTCTTGTTCCTGAGACTCTAGGCCATTGCTGCTCCCTCTTTTGTAAAAGTCAATGCCCTCAAGGAATTTATTTCCTGAAAACTTATTGCCAAGGTGTGCCTGGCCTGCCGATTGCTTGACTCAGTGCTAGAGGAGAGAATAGACCTCAGAATCGGACGGGCTTTAAATTCCAGCCCTGCCCTGAGTAGCCGAGTGGCCTTGAGACAGACCCAGTGAGGTTTCCACACCCAGATACACCATGGAACCATCAAGTCACAATGATTAGCACACCCATCTGCGCAAATATTTATCTATTTTTGTGAGACCATTTAAAATCTTCTTTTAGCTCCTTGCAAATATTCAATGCAAGCTGGGTATGGTGGCTCATGCCTGCAATCCCAGCACTTTGGGAGGCCAAGACAGGCAGATCACTTGAGGTCAGGAGTTTGAGACTAGCCTGGCCCACATATAGTGAAACCCCGTCTCTACTAAAAAATAGAAAAATTAGCTGGGCATGGTATCACACGCCTGTAGTCCCAGTTACTTGGGAAGCTGAGGCAGGAGAATTGTTCAAACCCAGGAGGTGGAGGTTGCAGTGAGCAGAGATCAAACCACTGCACTCCAGCCTGGGCAACAGAGTGAAACTCCATCTCTCAAAGAAAAAAAAATTCAATGCATGAGTCTGTCATTTGAGAGAACATGGATGAACCTAGGGGATGTTTTGTTGTATGAAATGAGCCAGGCACAGAGAGGCAAGTACCACACGACCTCATCTCTATGTGGAATCTAAAATAGTCAACCTTAGAGATGTAGAGAGGAGAATGGTGGGTAGCAGAAGCTAGGGGCAGGGATGGGTCCTGGGTAGCTGGAGAAAGGGGAGATGTTGGTCCAAGTTTGGGTAGACAGGAGGAGGGAGCCCTGGTGACCTACTGCATACCATGGGGCTCTAGAGGGCTCTTGTTCTATGAGAATCAGCCTCTGACTTCTTTGCTGGAGGGGTTGTGATTCCAGAAATAGGCCCGAGTCTCTGCAGATTCTCACTTGTGAATCTTGATCTCCGAGTACTCACTGTCAGTGGCCTCTTGTCTCTGCGGGTGCTGATGCTTCACTTTATGGAAGCTGAGGGTTGCATACTGGAGCTCTCCTTCCTCCCCTGATGAGTGGGCAACAGCTAGGGGAGGCTTCTTTGGAGGACTGCCCTCTGTCCAGGATTCAGTCAGGGGTCTCTGAACAGAGAGAGAGAAGGGAGTCAGAGCAGAGCAGTGGGGTCAGGATGAGGCAGGGAGAATCCAGGAGGCCCAGGAGATCCGTCCTCCATTCATCCCACCTGCATTTTTGTGGAAGTCTCTTTCATGCTTTCCTCCAATATTTAACACTTACTGAGTACCTATTTGGTGTTTACTAATTTCATTAACTTCCCACAACAACTCCATCATAAAATATTATTATTATCTCCATTTTATAAATATGAAAACTGAGGTAGAAACAGTAAACACTGCGCCCAAAATCTGTGTTGGACCAGGATCCAATCCAGTCTGTTCCTTCTGACCCGAAAGCCTGGAGTCCTGCTGAGGCCCCTGTGTGTGAGGCCCTGAGCCAGTGCTGGATAAGCTGTGATGGACATGGTAGGTGTGGGCCCTGACCTCCTGCAGCTCACTGTTTTTTTGTTTTTGTTTTTGTTTTTGTTTTGAGACAGAGTCTGGCTCTGTGGCCAAGGCTAGAGTGCAGTGCTGTGATCCCAGCTCACTGCACCCTCCACCTCCTGGGCTTAAGGGATCATTCCATCTTAGCCCCCCAAGTAGGTGGGGCTGCAGGAACTCACCACCATGCCTGGTTAAGTTTTGCATTTTTTTTGTAGAGATGGGACCTCATTATGTTGCCCAGGCTGATCTCAAGCTCCTGGATTCAAGTGATCCACCTGCCTTGGCCTTCCAAAGTGGCAGCTCAGTCTTTAATTGAGGGAGGTGGCAACAAATGACTGTTAAAAGAAATGAGTATCAGCTTGGGTTCGGTGGCTCACGCCCCTAATCCTAACACTTTGGGAGGCCGAGGAGGATGGATCACAAGGTCAGGAGTTCGAGACCAGCCTGACCAACATGGTGAAACCCCGTCTCTACTAAAAATACAAAAATTAACCTGGCGTGTGTGGTGCGTGCCTGTAATCCCAGCTACTTGGGAGGCTGAAGCAGGAGAATTGCTTGGACCCTGGAGGCAGAGGTTGCAGTGAGCCGAGGTGACAGAGCAAGACTCTGCCTTGAGAAAAAAATAAAAATAAGAAATGAATATCTACATGTAAATTATGATACAATGGGCAAAAAGAGGGTAAATGAGATAGAATTACAGGGCCTTGATTGAGACATGATACGTGCCCTGGGGAAGCTCACAGGTTAGTGATGTAAGGAGGACAAGCCAGTCAAAGAAATCAGGTCCCCCCAATAGGAAAAATAACGAGAGGGGTCAGGATGGCTGGGGCTGCGGAGAAGAGATGCCAGCTATTCTTGGGGAGGAAAAATGGAGAAGAGATGGTGAATCGGGGCTATAGAGAAGAAAGGGAGGACAGAGAGGAGATAACTCCTACGCAGTGCTTGGCCTGGGAAAAATTGGGGGTAGGGACTGCCATGCTATCAGCAACATGGGGAGTCCTGTAGGAGAAGCCGGCTTGTGGGAAGGAGGAGAAGAGGAAGTGACTTTGGCCATACCAAAGAGAGCAACCCTGGGGGCCATCCTGTGGGAGGTGTCCAGGCTGGGTGCTGGATGTGGAGACGTCCACATCACTCACCTGAGAGGCTGAGCCCCTGACGGCCTTCGCACCTTCCATGTCTGTATCCCCCACGCCCGCTGCTGGCCTTGCTGATTTCTTCCTGCAGGACCTCACTCTGAGTGAAGAGACCAGACAGCCTTTCAGTGTGGTCAGATCGGGGCGCAGTGGGCAGACCAGCCCTTGTCCTGTATTTCCTACTGGAGACTTGAGGGGTGACTGAGATGGGATGGGGGTGGTCCAGTTGTAGAGACCCCAACGGTGAAAACAGAGGCTCCTGCCTCCTGGATGGTGGGGCCTGAGGTTGCCACAGATGTGGAGCCCCACAAACAAGGGCGCTCATGAAGTGCTCACCGTGCACCTGTGAGCTCATTCTTGCCCCAAGCTCTTGACCCATCCAGGTCCTTCTAGTTCTGGCTTCAGGGATTCTGTTTCTGGCCTGCCCTGCTCCAGGGTTCTCCCTCCCTCCCCAGGGTCAATGCTCACATGATGAAGATGACGCAGAAGGACAGGAAGGCGAGGGCTGTGGCTCCAGCTCCCCCAACTGCCGCCAGTGTCACTTCTGATACAGGCCTTGCAGTGCCTACAGATGGATTGGAGTTGCTTTGGGGATTTATATCACGGAGAACTGGGTCTCTTCCCTTCCCACTCTCTGTAAGGCCCTATACTTCCATTCCCCTCTTCTCCCTCCCAGACACAGAACAGGAATGGGAGGGAGGAAGGGAGACTACTTCTGAGGCCAGTGAGGCATGAGAGTGCTGGATGCAGCTTGTCTTGCCTTTATTTAAAATTTTGATATTGTGTTCTTGTGGAATTATTTCACAGTCAATTTTATTTTTTTCAAAAGATCATGGCATTATGGCCGGGCGCGGTGGCTCAAGCCTGTAATCCCAGCACTTTGGGAGGCCGAGACGGGCGGATCACGAGGTCAGGAGATCGAGACCTCCTGGCTAACACGGTGAAACCCCATCTCTACTAAAAAATACAAAAAACTAGCCGGGCGAAGTGGCGGGCGCCTGTGGTCCCAGCTACTCGGGAGCTGTCTCTTATACACATCTAGATGTGTATAAGAGCGGAGCTTGCAGTGAGCTGAGATCCGGCCACTGCACTCCAGCCTGGGCGACAGAGCCAGACTCCGTCTCAAAAAAAAAAAAAAAAAAAAAAAGATCATGGCATTGCAATATTACTTTACTTGCTTTCTGAGTTGGATTTTTCTTTGGCTTCTTAAATTTGGTGCCAAGGCAAGTGCCTCATGTGTCTCATCCTAGTCTAAGCACTGCAAAGCAAGGCACTTGTATCCCCAAACACACCTGTCCAGGCCCCAGCTCCTCCCCTCCAAGACCCACTCCTCCCCTTTCCCCACCGACCCCGCTTTCCTGGCAGGGAGAGAACAGTGATGCCCTGGGTTGCAGGAAAGTTCCAGGCCTCACAGCTGGGCACACACGAGAGCTGAGCTCCCCCTTGAAGCTCGGGGCAGTGGGTGGCCCATGAGGTTGGGGCAGGTGTGTTCTCCTCCTCCAGCCCCTCCCTTCCCCACCTGTGCCCTCATTCTGCAGGGAGAGGCTCAGGGAAATGTGCTGGGAGCCCCGAGGGTTCTCAGCTTGGCAAGTGAATTCCCCTTCATCCTTCACATGCACTCGCAGCAGCTCCAGCAGCCCAGGGTTCCAGGGCTGTGAGGGGCACAGGGTCAGGCTCCCTCGGGTCCAGCTCAGCCTGGCAGGGGGATTGCTGTCGACAGCACAGACCAGGCGCAGAGACTGCCCCTCCAGGACTGAAAGAGATGAGCCATTTCCCAGGGCTGTGGATGCTGCAGAGAAAGAGACAGAGGGTCAGAGGGACAAATGGATCCAGAGAAAGAGGAAGGACACGGAAGGAGACTGGTGAGAGGAACTGACACACAGACATAGACTGAAGCGCTGGAAAACGCACACTTTCACGGCTCAGTGTTGGGAATGTAAACTTGTCCACTTTTAATTGAGAACAACTTCACTGCATCTTTCAAAATTAGAAAGAACATGCGACACTAGTGTATTTTGCTTATAGGAATTTATCCCATACACTTAGATATTCCTGTGGAAGTAGATACAAGACTATCCACTGCACAGTGTCTGCGGAAGATGATTTTCCTTAAGGGATGCCACAAAGTCAGAGTCCATCTGTGCAGCGAAAGCACACATGGTCCTAGAGGAGGGCGCGGACAGTCTCACTACGATGTCAAACCACCTGAGATCCTCCAGGTGCACAAACCAAGCCTCAGGGCAGCCTGGATGGACACTGGTCAATTCCGTGGAGAGGGATGGGCATCGGAGGACAGACTCTGCTGTGCATTTTGAATTTCTGCCCATGTGACTGTATCATGTATGCAGAAGTACTTAGATCGAAACTACTGGGAAAATAGAAAGATCAGACAGAGGAAGTATTCAGGAGACGCCTGACAAGAAACTTGAAAGTCTGGTCCCAAAATAAAAATGAACAAAAGCCAAAACAAACAAACAAACAAACAAACAAACAAACAAACGGGAGTCTGGTCCTGTGAATGTCACCCTGTCTTTGCTGTGGGGCCGAGGAGGGGGTGTGTGGAGGAGTCTGAGGAGAGCAGGGACAGGATGAGGACAGGACGCGGGCTCAGGTAGCCACGCGGGCTGGAGATGTGGGCTCTTGTGCCCTGGGCTCATGCACAATGGCAGCTCTGTTTCTCAAAGTGAGTCCAGGATGAGGAGAGACCCAGTCCCATCCTGAACTGAAGGCCCTGCTCCCCCAGCCCCAGAGAGGGGGTTCCATCCTACCTGTGTCATCTCCTTGGAAGACAGTCACGGTCAAGTTCCAAGGAGGGTCTGGGACAGAAAGACATGAAGACCCACATTGCTGTAAGGGCTGGGAACATTGGCCCTGTCTCCCCAGGAGCTGTATATACAGGGAAAATGGAGCCAACATTCTCCTGACCCCACTCCCAGCCCAGATTCTGGGACCCAGAACCCAGTGTCCAGGCTTGAACCCCATCCCCTGCCCTCAGGAACACCTCCCAACTCATGAGGGACCCGGGCGTCTTGGTCCAGCACTCACAGGACACATCGAGTTGGACGGTCCTGGTCTTGGTCACACCCGTCCCAGGCAAGGTCACCTGACAGGTGAGGCTGGTGCCGTGGTCCTGGGGCTTTGGGATAAGGGTGAGCACTGAGAAGCGGGCAGTAGTGGGGCCCAGGGAGGACACGGAGGTCCCAATCCAGGAGATCATGGGGGGCATCCTCTGCTCACAGGCCCAGGGCACAGAGCAGGTCAGGTTCCTGGGGTGGCCAGACTCTAGGGTCCCTTGGATGAGGATGTCAGGCCTCTGGGTCAAGGCTGGTGAAGACGGGAACACAGGATCAGGAGGAGGTATTTCAGCTGCAGCCCTGGGGGAAGCTCAGGCTCTGGTCCAGCTCCTCCCCGGAGCCCGACTTGCTTCAATCCCAACCCCCTCCCAGGCCCCATCCCAGCCCTGCCTTTCACCCCCCCATGACCTTCCCCTGTGGCCTTTCCAGGAGCCCGTGCCTTACCTGTCACAAACACAGACAGCTGCTTAGCTTTGTAATTCAACTGTGACTTATAACTCCATTTCATGCGTCCTCTCTCTAGCCGAAAGAAATATGACCCCTCGTCCCCCTTCCTGGCGTCGTTGATGCTCAGGGAGCAGTCATTGCTCCATCGGTCCCCAAGGAGTTGGAATCGGCCCTGGGTCTCCGCCTGCACCTCTGTGTCTGGGTTGTTTGTGGCCACTGGAGCCTCTTGGTTTGGTCTGTCTCCTGCCCGGAACCAGTAGCCGTGAACTGGGTCAGAGTAAGTCCAGTCATCCTGGGGATAGGAGAAGGAGCAGGGCACATGGACACACAGGCCCTCCTGCACCGTCACCAGTTCCTGCACTTGAAGCAAGTAACCATCCCCATATTTTCTGTCTCCCTCCATCCCCTGTGTCCCCCAGAGCAGGGGCAGCAGCAGCAGCAGCAGCATGTCTGGGGTTGGAGGTGCCAGGGCCGCCAGGGAACGTCTGTTCCTCAGGGCTCTTCTCTCAGGAACTGAGGGCTCAAGACTTAGGGGAGGTCCCGCAGGAGGCTGGGGGTGAAGTCAGAACAGTGACCTCCCCAGAAGAGGAACGTCACACCAGACACTGTCAGGGCTGAGTCAGTCCTGGGAGATCCACCACACACCACCCCATGTCCACTCCTGGGGACCCTGAGGCCAGACAGGGTGAGAGACTCACCCAGATTCCCACCCCATGCAGGGTCCACCCTCTTTCTTGCTTCCCGGACTTGCCCTTCCATTTGGGTAACGTTTTCTGCAAGGTGAAATTGGGTCCCATCTGGCCAGACCTCTGAATCACCCCTGTGGCTATCACTGTTTGTGGAGGTCATACCAGCCAAAGGTGGAACTCAGGGCCATGAGAGACTGGGGTGCAGGTGAGGTGAGCAGGCAGCCTCTCCTCCCTTCTTCAGCAGCAACGAAGTGGGCACCCCCTCTCTGCACAACGAGGTCAACACAGCAGAGCCAGACACTGTCCCTAAGGAGTCACCGTGCAGAGGGGAGACACTGAGGCTCCTGACATATGAGGTCCCCAGGATGGGAGCTTCAGTGGGGGGCACAGGCCGGGTGGGGTCGTTCTCCCCTAGGTGGGGGATTCAGTCTCAGGAGGACTGAGCAGAGCAGAGGGACACGCGGCTGTGGAGGTGAGGATTCTGCATGTTGATACACACGAAGGACAGGGAGGGGGAAGCCTGGCTCGCAGGAGGCCTGGGAAACTGAGGCTATAACTGTTGTACTGTGGGATTTGGAAGAAAGAAATGTCAGAAGGGAAAGGGTCAATGTGAAAAGGGCACACACTTCTCCCTTTGTTGCAGCTATTTGGGTATCAGAATGGGTTTCTTCACCACCCATATCTTACTGAGTCACACTTCCCCTGGTTACTCCACAGCAGGCGGGGTCTGCCGGCCCCGGGGCTTTGCTCCTGCAGGCTCTGCTCCCAGGGGTCCAGGGGAACAGTAGTCATGGAACGAGGACACCAGCCCTGGGGTATGCACCTTCAGCGATGGGCAGGATTTCATGAGAGAAGAAATATGTGCTGAATTCAACAGATTATTATTATTATTATTTTGAGACGGAGTCTATCTCTGTCACCGGGCTGGAGTGCAGTGGCGCGATCCCAGCTCACTGCAACCTATGACTCCCTGGTTCAAGTGATTCTCCTGCCTCAGCTTCCTGAGTAGCTAGGATTACAGGCATACGCCACCATGTCTGGCTAATTTTTGTATTTTTAGTAGAGCCAGGGTTTCACCATGTTGGCCAGGATGGTCTCGATCTCCTGACCTAGTGATCTGCCCACCTCGGCCTCCCAAAGTGCTGAGATTACAGGCATGAGCCACCGCGGGAAGGCATCCAGTACTGTTCTTTCTTTGCTGGGAGTTTATTACTGATTCAGTCTTGTTGCACGTCATAGATATGCTCAGGTTTTCTGATTCTTCCTGTTTCAATCTTAGCAGATTCTATATGTCCAGGAATTTATCGGTTTCTCCTAGGTCTTCAAATGTATCGGCATATAGTTCATACATTCTTTCATGATCTTTTGTATTTCTGTGGTATCCATTGTGACATCTTTTTCATTTATGATTTTATTTATTTCTGTCTTGCCTCTTTTTTTTTCCTAGTTATGGCTTGATGGTTTTGTTTATCTTTTAAAAAATATTATTTCTTTCTTTTCTTTTTTTTTTTCTGAGACGGAGTTTCGCTTTTGTTGCCCAGGCTAAAGTGCAGTGGTGCAGTCTTGGCTCACTGCAACCTCTGCCTTCTGGGTTCAAGCAATTCTCCTGCCTCAGTCTCCCGAGTAGCTGGGATTGCAGGCATGCGCCACCATGCCCAGCTAATTTTGTATTTTTAGTAGAGGTGGGGTTTCTCCAAGTTGGTCAGGCTGGTCTTGAACTCCGACCTCAGGTGATCTACCCGCCTCAGCCTCCCAAAGTGCTGGGATTACAGGCGTGAGTCACCGCACCCAGCCCTATTATTTCTTTTTTCCTACTAATTTTGGATTTGTTTTGTTCTTGCTTTTCTAGTTTCTTGAGATGCATTGTTGTTCATTTGAACTCTTTCTAGTTTTTCATGTAAACATTTATTGCTACAAACTTACCTCTTATACTTCATTTTCTCTGTCCTGTAGTTTTTGGTATGTTGTGTTTCTATTTTCATTTGTTCAATGAATTTTTAAATTTCATTTTTAGCTTTGTCCTTCACCCATTGGTTGTTCAGAAGCATGTTGTTTAATTTTAATATATTTTCATAGTTTCTAATGTTCCTCTTGTTACTGGTTTTGAGTTGTATTCAACTATAGTCAGGTAAGATACTTGACATTTTGGTAAATGATGCTCTGTTATTGGGTGCATATACATTTAACATATTCACCTCTTTAACAAAGTGGTAGAAGCCAGATACATAGAGTAAATATTGTGTGAGTCTATTTATATGAAGCTCCAGAATAGAAAAAAACTGATAGATAGTGATGGGAATCATATAAGTGATTGCTGCAAGTGAAACACTGACTGGGATAGAAAAATAAGAAAACTTGGAGGGATGAAAAAAAGATTCCCTATCTTGATTGAGGACATAGTTACAGGGTGTTTACATTTGCCAAAACTAATTTAACTGTATGCTTACAATGGGTGCTTTTTATTATATGTAAGGTATGTCTCCATTAAGTTTATATTAAGTTAACACTGTAGTAGATGTGGAAAATGCAATATAATAGTGATGAATAGTAATGACTTCGGATTGATTTGGGCGCGCTCTCTCTCTCTCTTTCTCTCCATGAAATCCGCTTTATTTTCTCACACTTTACCCACTGCACACTTTCGAAACACTTCTTGCTACTCAACAATATTTTCGTGGCCGCCCCACTAGGATACAGGCTCCCCGCAGGCAGAGTTTTTGCTGTTTTCTTGTCACCGCTGTTTCTCCCGCGGCCTTTGAGCCCTGCTCGCTGCTCTGGGATGAACTTGCCTTTCAGGCAGCCCTGCCCATCTCTCACCTCCCGGCTCACCTGTCCCACCTGCCCGCGGATCCTCACCCTCTCCGCTGGGCTCCCACAGCCCCATCCTTCCCGCAGGCTCAGCCCGGACCCCGCCAGCCTGTGCCCGCCTCTGTCTCCCCTGACCGTGGCGGGTGCCGCTGCAGATTCCGCCTTGCCCAGCCCAGACCCCCAGGCGGCTCTGCCCCACAGATGGGAGGCAATTGTGCAGGGTACAGGGGCAGCGAGGGGCTGCGGCCGAGAGCCGTGCCCCGTCCTGTGGAGGGAGGGTGAGTGTGGGTGGAGGGGGCAGCCCTGCAGATGTCAGAGGCGGGGCGGGAGCAGCACAGGTTTCCTCTGGTGAGGAGCCCTCCCCTTCCCTTTTCTCCTTCCATCCTCTGAGCAACCACGTGTTACAGACTGGCCCAGACCCTGTGGGACTCTGCAATCACCGTGGGCCACACCGGGCTGTGCTCACAGGAACACATCGAATCCTCTCGACCACTCCATGCACTCGCTTGCCAGGTTTGCCTTGATAAAGGAACACAGACCGAGTGGCTTCAACAACGCCTTTGTGTTCCCACCCTTCTGGAGAAGTCTGAGACCAAGCTGTGGTCTGCGTTGCTTCCTTCTGAGGCCTCTCCGTGGCTTGCTGGTGGCATCTTCTCCCTGTGGTCGTTCTCCTGAGTGTACTAATCACCCCTGCTTGCCTTCCTTTCCTCCCTCCCTTTCCTCTTTCTTTCTTTTCTTTCCTTCCTTCCTTCCTTCCTTTCTTTCTTTTCTTTCTTTCTTTCTTTTCTTTTTCTTTCTTTCTTTCTTTTTCTTTCCTTCCTTCCTTCCTTCCCTCCCTCCTTCCCTCCTTCTTTCTTTCTTTCCTTCTTTCTTTTCTTTTCTTTCCAGAGCCTTGCTGTGTCACCCAGGCTGGAGTGCAGTGGCACAATCTTGGCTCACAGAAGCCTCCGTCTCCTGGGTACAAGCACTTCTTCCACCTCAGCATCCGGAGTAGCTGGGATTACAGGCCCACGCCACCACGTCTGGCTAATTTTTGTATTTTTAGTAGAGATGGGATTTTACCATGCTGGCCAAGCTGATCTCCAACTCCTCACCCCAAGTCTTCTGCCTGCCTCGGTCTCCCGAAGTGCTGGGATTACAGGCCTGAGCCACCACGCTCTGCCCCTAATCACCCCTTCTAATAGACACAACTCATGTAGGATGAGAGCCTACCCTAACAAATTCATTTTAACTTAGTCACCTTTTTATAAGTCCCTGTCTCTAAATATGGTCGCATTCTGAGGTGCTGGGGTTAGGGCTTCAGTATAGGAATTTGTGGGGGACACAGTTCATCCCTGACACCCCCATAAGTGTGGACACCCGACGATGCACAGAGTGGGTAAGCCCCTTCCCAAGACAACACTGTGCGTTTCACAGAGCCCAGCTCAAGCCAGCAGCCATCCAGCTACAGAGCCTGTGCCCCTGACCTCTCTCTACGAGGCCTCATGTGAGGAAGCCCCAGAGCAATGTGGACCACTGGGAGCTCGTTACTGAGGGCAGGACTCCGAGTGACTCCTGAGGATGGTTAGGGCCAGACACGTGGAGGCTCAGGGCCTGCCCAGGGACACAGAGCACGTTGGCCACCCCTGAGTCTGCAGAGAACGTCGCCTCCTCGAGCTGGGTTCTCCCTCAGGTTGGGGCTGGGTGCTGTGATCCCTCCAGGGGACAGGTGAGGAGACTGAGACTTGGAGGGAAAGGGCCCAGGACCCTCACACTCCAGAGCCAGGGCCTCTCCCAGCATCTCGGGCTCAGCCTTGCTCCCCATGCTGGGCTCGCAGGGCCTGGGCTGTGCAATCACCACCAGCGACGCTGGGATGCTGGGCAGGGGGCACTGAGAAGGTTAGGAAGGTGGGGGACCACCTGTGGGGTCACATGCTCACAGCACCTCAGAGTCCTTGTCCCGTCCACTCTGCCCGTGCATACCTGAGACCGCACCTCTAGCTGCACAGGGCCCTTGGGATTCCACAGCCCTG